TTACCTCAATTTGATCTTTGTTTAATTGGAGAACGTTCTGACACATCCATTCATTGATTTGTTCAATAAACTTACTCAGTGTTTGAATTGGAGCATAATCTCTGTCACGCTTCCTGTTTACACGTCACACTTCCTGTTTACCTCTGTCACGTTAACTTATTTTGTTGTTTTTCATTATCTGAGCCAGTGGTAGCATGTAGATGTTAAAGAGAATATGGAGCCTTGAGGTACCCCACATGTCATATTTGTCAACTCAGATGTGTATTTACCTATAGAAACAAAAAATGTTCAGTCCTTTAAGTTGGATTCAAACCAATTTAGAACTGTTGCCGAAAGTCCCACCCAGTTTTCTAGTCGGTCTAGTAATATGTTGTGGTCAACAGTGTCAAACGCAGCACTGAGATCTAATAATACTAACACTGAAGTTTTGCCACTGTCTGTGTTTAAGTGGATGTCATTGAATACCTTTACAAGAGCAGTCTCAGTGCTGTAGTTTGGACGAAAGCCTGATTGGAACACATCGAAACAGTTAATTAAATGCAAGAAGTTGAAAAACAACTTTTTCAATGATTTTACCTAAAGATGGGAGGTTTGATATGGGCCTGTAATTGTTCATTACTGAAGCATCTAGATTATTATTTTTTAAGAGCGGTTTAATGACTGCAGTTTTCAGGGCCTGTGGAAAAACACCTGAGTGAAGAGACTTGTTTACTATAAGAAGTAGATCTGAGGCCATGCAATGAAAAACATTTTTGAAAAAGCCTGTGGGAATGATATCAAGGCAGCAGGAGGAGGATTTCAGAAGTTGAATTTAATGTCCTCTAGGTCTTTATCATTAATCTGATGGAATTGTCCTGATGTCTGAATTGACTTTAAGTGGACACAGGGACAAAACATTTGCTGTACCTGATGCAGAGGCACTGACTGCTTGTCAGATTTTCTGAGTTTTGTCAGTGAAGAAGGAGGCAAATTAATTGCAGGCCCTGGTGGATAGAAATGCAGAGGCTACTGACACTGGGGGGTTTGTTAGTCTTTCGACAGTAGCAAATAAGGCACGTGCGTTGTTTTTGTTTTTGGTAATGATGTCAGAGAAGAAAGACTGTTGTGCAATTTCTCTCTTTATAGATTTCAAAGTGAACCTGGAGATTTGTTTTTCGCCACCTACGTTCAGCTTTTCTACACTCTCTTTTTTCTGTTCTCACGGTCATGGCCTTTCTCCATGGAGATATTTTCTTGCCAGACACTTCCTCTACCTTAGTTGGAGCAATGGCATCTATAACAATTTTTGAATTAAAATGATCTACTTGCTCATTTACTGAGATGTTAGCAGGGGCAAGTGTGGAAGAAAAATTCTGAGTAAACATTTCCCTAGTATTTTCAGTTAACCCTTGTATGGTATTCGGGTCTGTGGGACCCATTTTCATTATTTAGCTAAAGAACAATGATATGATAAATTATTTTTTCAAACCCACACTCAATGGCCTTTGCTCATTTTCTGTGAAGAACATATATCAGAACATAGTTTCAATGACCACCCACTGTACCCCCCCCCCCCTACACATTTACATTACATACAGGGTGTTCGGGTCTAACAAAAGTGTGTGTGTGTGTGTGTCTTTTGTGTTTCTGCCCCTGCCATTCCTGCACCAGGTTGCAACATTATTGATAAATTCAAGCACCAAAACCTGTCTGCTCTCACATTCCCGCATTATGTTTTGCGGGAACCAATCTCAATTTTTTTCACACTCTATCCAAGCTGCACATTTGGGGCGGGACACAATAAGTAAAGCTTCGCCAGTTTGGGTCCTTATCACAACTGATCAAGATGGCCAAACGATTCTCTGCTCAGAGGGCCTTGCAAATGATTCTGGAAGAGAGAGAACCATTTGATGATGATGTAGAGGAAGAGGAAGAGGTTTCAGAATGTGAGGATCACATTTCTGAGAATTCTGACAGTGACTTTGAAGAAGAGGATGAGATTGAGCATCAGCTAGTTACAAAAAAAAGACGAGCCACAGGACCAGCCGGTCAGTGGGCAAAAAAACAAGTAGCACTTTAATTCATTAATGTGATCTAACAAATGTAAAAGGGCAAATATTAACCATATATGCCGTTTATATTGCTTGTAATTGAGATGAAGTAAACATCTGTTGAGTATTTTAACATCAAATAGTTTGATTGTGTTGAATTGAAACCCAAGACCCACGGACACTGGCTGAGTAACACAAATATGAACACCACACAAGGGTTAAATATCGCTTTGTGGTTACCGCTTTTTGAACATTTTTGTGAACAGAAATAGAGCTCTCAAAGAAAACCCAGGAATGATCAGAGAGTGCAACATCCGTCACCACAACCTTGGAGATATTCAGACCCTTTGAGATCATTAAGTCCAGAGTGTGCCCCTTATTGTGCGTGTGCTCCGTCACATGCTGAGTAAGTCCATAGTTATCAAGAACACAAAACAGTTCTTTAGCCCCTCTGTCCTGGGGGTTGTCAACATGGATATTTGCTGTAACACTAAGTATCTGGGACACATCATCACAGATGAAATGGCTGATGATGTATAGACAGCGGCGTGTCTTATATGCAAGCCAACATGTTGGCTAGAAAATTATCTTGGTGTTCAGATAAGGTTAAGGTGAACCTCTTTAGAGCTTATTGCACTCCTCTCTATACTGCCCCCTTGTGGGTCAAGTATAAGAAGGCGAGCCTCAAGAAGCTCCAATTTCCCTGCAGTGATACTTCTTCAAGGTTTTCTGCACGATGTGTTGTGTCTTTCTCTTGTTTTGATTCCTCTTGTTGCTTGTCCTTGGCAGAGGGAACAGATTGATGACATAGGCAGTTGAATACGTTAGAGATAAACAATTTCACTCCTGACTTGTTCAGGCAAACTCCATCTGCCTTAAAAAGATGTCTGCGGTCCCAGAAAAAGTAAAAATTGTCAATAAAATGAACAGAATGGTCAGTACAGGCAGTTGAAAGCCAGGTGTTCAGTGCAAATAATCTGCTAAATCTCTCCACTCCTCTTTTGACCGGCGGTAGAGGGCCACTGATGAACACCTCTGCATTTAGAGAGCTGACAGTTTCCCACAGACATTTTAGTCTTCTTTCAGCACTTCTGACTTGTTTCACAATATCATTTGTTCCAATGTGCAGTACCACATTTTTCACAGTTGGATGTTCAGCCCCAATATGCAGGATCTTCTCAGCCAAGTCAGAGACCATTTCCTTGGGAAAACAGAGTACCCTGGTTTTGTTCTTACTACACAGACTACACTCATGAGAGCCAGTCTCATCATAGCGTTTGATGGTTTTTGCGACTGCACTTGAGGATACATTCAAAGTTCTTGACATTTTCCGGATCGACTGGCCTTCATTTCTTAAAGTGATGATGGACGGTCGTTTCTCTTTTAGTTGAGTCGTTCTTGCCATAATATGGATTACAACAGTAGTCAAATAGGGCTATCCACTGTGCTCAAACCCTACCTCTGCACAACACAACTGATGGTCTCAAACACATTAAGAAGGCAAGTCATTCCACACATTGACTCTTGACAAGGCACATGTGTTAATTGAAAACCATTACAGGTGAAGAACTCATGAAGCTGACTGAAAGAAGCCAAGAGTGAGCAAAGCTGTCATCAAGGCAAAAGGGGTCTACTTTGAAGAATCTAAACTAAAAATCATATTCTTGATTTTTTTAGCACTTTTTTGTTCACTAGATAATTCCATATGTTTTCTTTTATAGTTTTGATGTCTTCAGTATTAATCTACAAAGTAGACACAAATTAAAATAAACAAAAACCATTCAATGAGATGTGTCCAAATTTTTGACTTGTACTGTGTATAAGAAACACACATTTTAATATTTAGCAGGTTCCCTCATCTATAATCATTTATACAAGAGCAACTTTGAACATGTACAGCAGTAAAATGCAACATACAAAATACTCAAACATCTTGCATTAAACACTGACGGGGAACATTTTACTGCACCGTCATTACTATTAAATAAGAAGGTGCCGTAAAATGTTCTGATGATACTTGCATACTTTTACTTAAATAAGGTTTGAATGCAGGATTTTAATTTGTAACAGAATATTACCATTCTATAGGCGTAGTCTATCTGTGAACGATCCCAAATACAATGTATTGTTTACATTGCAACTAGTGCTAAGCCAGAAGAAAAAAAACCTTTTTCATTTCTAACTGGAAGTGGAAAGGGGCTGGGCTATATAAGGTGAATTGAGCCAACACAAATACACAATAGGTGGGACTAAGAAAGATGATATGAAAGTATAAAAACAAAGGCATTAATTAGGGCTGCAAAATGTCTCCTATTGTAATGGTGATTAGATTTTTAAATGCTAACACTGAACAGTTTTTTCTAACTGTGTGTTTCCTGTTTCCTGCAGACGTCCAGCTGCTGGTGGTGGTTAAAAAAGAGGTTCTCCCTGAGCAGCAGGAGTGGAGCACCAGTCCGGACCAGGAGGACCCAGAGCCCCCCCCCACACATTAAGCAGGAACAGGAGGAACTCAGGATCAGACAGGAGAGAGAGCAGCTTCAGAAGCTCGAAGAGGCTGATATCATCAAGTCCACTTTCACTCCTGACCCTGTGAATAGTGAAGATGACAAAGAGAAACCTCAGTCCTCACAGCCTCATCAAAGACAAACTGAACACATGGAAACAGAAGCTGATGGAGATGACTGTCGAGGACCAGAACCAGACAGGAACTCAGATCCAGAGAGCAGTTTACAACCAAAGACTGAGGACAACACTGGAGGCTGTTCTGAACCTGACACTGGAGACTCTGCTGAACCTGACACTGAAGACAGTGCTGATTGGAAGGAGACCAGAGAACCTGCGTCAGGCTCAAACTCACTGAAAAATAGACAAGAATATGTCAGTGATTCACAACGTAGTGCTGTCAAGAAACCATTTGGCTGCTCTGTGTGTACGAAAATGTTTACATATAGAAGCAATGTTCATCAACACATGAGAGTCCACACAGGAGAGAAACCACACAGCTGCTCAGTCTGTGAGATAGCTTTTTCACGGAGTGGAAGTTTAAAGGCACACATGAGAATCCACACAGGAGAGAAACTACACAGCTGCTCAGTCTGTAAGAAAGCTTTTTCAAATAATAGAAATGTAAAGGAACACATGAGAATCCACACAGGTGAGAAACCACACAACTGCTCAGTTTGTGAGATAGCTTTTTCACGGAGTGGAAGTTTAAAGGCACACATGAGAATCCACACAGGAGAGAAACCACACAGCTGCTCAGTCTGTAAGAAAGCTTTTTCAAATAATAGAAATGTAAAGGAACACATGAGAATCCACACAGGTGAGAAACCATTCAGCTGCTCAGTCTGTGAGATAGCTTTTTCACGGAGTGGAAGTTTAAAGGCACACATGAGAATCCACACGGGAGAGAAACCACACAGCTGCTCAGTTTGTAAGAAAGCTTTTTCAAAGAGTGGAAATGTAACCACTGACTGTTGATGAACCATTTTATTTTTGGATTGAGTGCTCCAAGTTTCCATAGAGAGATATAGGATGATTTGATGTATGGTTCTTTATTTCTAAATATTTTGTATCATTGCTGTCCTGTTAATGAGCCCTGTTTTACATAAATGTACCTGTTATCTGATTGTTTTTGCTTCTGTAACTGTAAGGGAATACATTTGTCTATTTTGTATCCTGATGACCTAATGCCGTTACATGTACTACGTTACTCCCTAAGCCTGATTTCACCCACCTGCAACCTATTCGCTAATAATCACAAATGTTCATTTATTTGACCCCTTGACTCGACTATTTCTTGTTTAATAATCGTTACATTTCCTCAGGACCAAGTTCCCGTGTCCTGCCTTTCACCTGATGATCACCCACTGCTCATTTAAGTTGGACTGACCTTTACAATGGACCAGCAAGTCTAAGTGTCTTAATGCAAACGTTTTGTAAAGTGATGCTGGACCAAAAACGTGCTGTTGGTCCAGCAGTGTGCTCTCTGCAGGACGGTGTCTGGACTCAAAGATTGTTTATGAGAGCTTCACTCTGTTTTTGGTGTCCAAACGACGGCAACAGAGTGATAAGTCTTCTTTCCAGCATCCAGTATATCCAATAAAATAGCTTTTGAAAATATGTGCATCTTAAAAGTGCTTAATTTTAGATAAATAAAATAAAGTGTAGCAGCAGCTTGAGTTTCCCTTTTTCTTTGTTAACCGTTTCACATCATGACTTAACAATTTCAGACGATGATCAATCAATCAATCAATAAATGTGTATTGATATAGCCCAATATCACAAATGTTACATTTGTCTCAGTGGACTTCACAGTTTGTACAGAATATCAGTATGACAATACGACACCCTCTGTCCTTAGACCCTCACATCGTACAAGGAAACATTTCCGGAGAAAACCCACAGTTTAAAGGGAAAAATGGGAGAAACCTCAGGGAGAGCAACAGAGGAGGGATCTCTCTCCCAGGACGGACAGACGTGCAATAGATGCCGTGTGTAAATTGAAAAGATAATACATTTGCAACATAGGTAGTCCAAATGTTTGGAAATGCATGTGTGTATAATAGGAAGATGAATCCACGATGATATCCATCCAGGACCTATGATCCAGGACCACAGCCACGACTCAAGATCCAGGGCTCGCGATGCAGGACACAGGACCGCAGGATCATCCATGACTCCGGATCCCAGCGTATATAGACACCAAAAAGAAAGACATTTGGGGAAGCTGGGTTAATCGGAACATGAGAGTACACAGGTATAGACAGAGAGAAGGAAGAAGTAAGATGTCCCCCGACAAACTAAGCCTATATCAGCAAAACTAGGGGCTGAATCTAATCAGCCCTAACTATAAGCTTTATCAAAAAGGAAGGTCTTAAGCGCACTCTTAAAAACGGATAGGGTGTCTGCCAACCGAACACAAATTGGAAGCTGATTCCACAAATGTGGAGCTTGATAAGAAAAGGCTCTGGCTCCCATTGTACTTTTAGAGACTCTAGGAACAACCAACAACCCTGCATTCTTGGAACACAATGCCCTAGTAGGACAGTAGGGTATAATGAGTTCTTTAAGGTAAGATGGCGCCTGCTCATTAAGGGCTTTGTAGGCGAGAAGAAGAATTTTAAATGATATCCTGTGTTCTATAGGGAGCCAGTGTAAGGCAGCCAGAACAGGAGTAATGTGGTCTCTTTTCCTAACTCTGGTTAGTACACGAGCTGCAGCATTTTTAATCAGCTGAAGCGACTTGACTGACTTCTTGGTACACCCTGATAATAAGGAGTTACAATAATCCAGCCTTGAAGTAACAAATGCATGGACTAGTTTCTCTGCATCGTTTTGAGGCAAGATATGCCTGATTTTTGCAATGTTACGTAGATGGAAGTAGGCGGTCCTTGAAATTTATTTTATGTGGGCGTTAAAGGATAAATCCTGATCAAATATAACACCAAGATTCCTTACAGTCTCACTGGAGGCCAAATTAATGCCATCCATAGTTAGTATACCTTTAGATAATTTGTTTCGTAGATTCTTCGGGCCAAGTACAATAATTTCAGTTTTGGTCGTGTTTAACATCAAAAAATGTAAGGTCATCCACGTTTTTAAGTCCTTGAGGCAGTCTTTAATTTTATTTAGATGATTAATTTCATCAGGCTTGATTGATAAATATAGTTGAGTATCATCTGCATAACAATGAACATTTACAGAATAATTCCTTATAATATTGCCTAACGGAAGCATATATAATGTGAACAAAATAGGTCCGAGCACTGAGCCCTGTGGCACTCCATGGCTAACTTTGGTTTGCGTGGAAGATTCATCGTTGACACGTACAAACTGAGAGCGTTCAGATAGATAGGACCTAAACCAGCCTAAAGCAGTTCCCTGTATGCCAACTAAGTGCTCTAGTCTTTGCAATAAGATATCATGATCGATAGTATCAAATGCAACACTGAGATCGAGCAAAACAAGAATAGAGACAAGTCCCTTGTCAGAGGCTATTAGAATGTAATGTGTGACTTTAACCAGAGCTGTCTCTGTGCTATGATGTGTTCTAAAGCCAGACTGAAAATCTTCAAATAAATCATTGTTTTTTAAGTAATCACACAACTGTTTTGCGACCGCTTTCTCAAGAATTTTTGAGAGGAACGGAATATTAGAAATAGGTCTATAGTTGGCTAAAACCTCTGGATCGAGGTTGTGCTTTTAAGAAGCGGTTTTTCACTGCTACTTTGAATGATTGTGGAACATAGCCTGATAATAAAGACATATTCATAATACTTAATAAAGAAGTGCTAATTAATGGAAAAACTTCCTTCAACAGCTTAGTTGAAATTGGGTCTAACATACACGTTGATGGTTTAGAAGAGAGAATCATTTAATTTAATTGTTCAAGGTTTATGTCTGAAAAGCATTCTAGTTTACTATCTAGTGTAATATTAGAACTTACGTTTCCGGGAGCTGTTGATAACACTATACTGGTCAAAGGCAAGAGGTCATTAATTTTGTTTCTAAGAGTAACAATTTTATCGTTAAAAAAGCACATAAAATCATTACTACTGAGTGCTATGGGAATAGAAGGCTCAATCGAGCTGTGGCTCTCTGTCAGCCTGGCTACAGTGCTGAAAAGAAATCTTGAATTATTCTTATTCTCATCTATTAATTAAGTACTCTTCATTAATAGATGAGAATAAGAATAATGCTACTGTAGGCTGCTCTCGCTTTACGCAGTGCTTTCTTATATTCATTGAGAGTAATATGCCAAATTAAACGAGATTCTTCAAGTTTAGTGGAACGCCATATCCTTTCAAGTTGTCTCGACTTTTGCGGGTTTCGGCATTATGCCATGGAGCTAATCTATTTTGTTTTATTTTCTTATTTTTCAAAGGAGCAACAGAGTCTAATTATATTCACAGCGCATCTGTAGCACTATCAACAACATGATCAATTTGGGGTGGTGTACATTTTGTATAAGTTTCCTCCCCTACATGCAGACATGCTATCGAGTTAAGTAATGGTGGAATCTCTTCCTTAAATTTGGCTATAGCACTACCAGATAGGTTTCTACTGCAGGAGCCTTTGACTAATGCTTTGTAGTCTAGTAACAGTACTTCAAAAGTGACTAAGAAATGGTCGGATAAAGCAGGATTATGTGGTTCGACTAATAGTTGCTCAATTTCAATACCATAAGTCAGAACAAGGTCGAGAGTGTGATTATAGCAGTGGGTTGGTTTATTTACACTCTGACAGAAACCAACAGAATCTATTATAGAGTTAAATGCAACAGTAAGGCTATTTTTATCATCGTCAACATGAATATTAAAGTCACCTACGATAATTACTTTATCTGTTTTAAGTACCAAAGTTGATAAAAACTCAGAGAATTCTGATAAGAATTCTGAATAAGGACCTGGTGCACGGTACACTGTAACAAATAAGATTGGCTGCAAAGTTTTCCAGGTCGGATACGTAAGACTAAAAACGAGACTTTCAAAGGAGGTATAATTTAATTTTGGTTTAGTATTGATAAGTAAACTTGAGTCAAAGATTGCTGCAACTCCACCTCCTCGGCCCGTGCCTCGGGCAATATGAGTATTGATATGGCTGGGTGGAGTGGCCTCATTTATGCTGACATATTCTTCATGTCTCAACCAAGTTTCAGTGAGACAGCATATATCAATATTATAATCTGATATTAATTAATTTACCAATATTGCTTTAGATGCTAGAGATCTTATGTTTAAGAGACCACATTTAATCTTCCTGTTTTGTTGCACTGTAGTAGTTGTTACATTTACTTTTATTAGGTTATTATGTATGACACCTCTATTAGGTTTTACCTTAAATTGTCCTTGGGCAGACACACACACCGCTAATATTGGGTATTTTATTGGGTTCGGGATTCCTATCGATGACTGCCTAGGAGAGAGCGCAGAGAAGCGTGTAAGACTGTGACTCCGCCTCCTGGTCTCAACTCCAGTTTGTCATGGATTAAGTCCACAAAGCCCTGAAATGTTTGCCGAAATGAGATTTGCACCTTCCAAAGTAGGATGAATGTCGTCTCTCTTAATCAGACCAGGTTTTCCCCAGAAGGCTGTCCAATTATTTACAAAGCCCACATTGTTTGCTGGGCACCACCAAGACAACCAGCGCTGAAATGATGACATGACATGACATATCATCATTGATCAGATTGGGGAGGGGGCCAGAGAAGATTACAGTGTCCGACATTGTTTTAGCATAACTACACACCGACTCCACATTAAGTTTGGTGCATTCTGATTGGCGTAAACGAACATCATTACCACCGACGTGAATAACAATCCTACTGTATTTACGTTTATTTTTAGCCAGCAGTTTAAGATGCGCCTCAACGTCGCCCGCTCTGGCCCCCGGAATGCATGTGACTGTGGAGACATGCATTCACATGTCTCATAATAGAGCTACCAATAACAAGAGTTGGCTTCTCAGCGGGTGTCTCGCTGAGTGGGGAATATCTGTTAGATACGTGAACGGGTTGGTGGGGACCTGCGGGTTTTGCGTTATGCCCCTTCTGAACAGTCACCCAGTCTCCCTGCTGTTCGGGAGTTGCCGGGGGACGGCTAAGAGGAGCTACCTTTTGACGGTCCGCACCGGCTAACATGGGCTTTACTGTAGCTGAGTTACTTTCTAAGATGCGGAGCCGGGCTTCTATGGCTATGATTCCCGCCTCCAACCTAAAAACTATACTACATTTAACACATGTATCGGTACCAGTAAAGGAGGTAGGGAAGTAACCAAACATGAGATTTGGCACAAAAAAGGGGGAATACACGTTTCGCAATTATGCCACATCAAGGTGGAACGCTCTTCCCACAACGGTAAAGAAAAGGAAAACTATACTTACCTTCAAAACCTCTCTTAAAGAGCACCTTCGGGGGAGAGCATTGCAAAACTGGCCCCGGTAATGGTACAATTCTCAACCTGTCGTTCAATGGACAGCTTCCCCCCCATCTATGTATATACTCGCATTTTAGACTCTGTTACT